AGGAACTGGGTTTTTTTTTTTGGCCTCTTTTTGTATCCCCAGTGCTTAGCAAATAATACGTGCTTAATAAATACTGATTGACTAGCTGGGTTTAGTTGTGTTCAACCTTGGATTTCCTTGCGCCTAAGGCATCACCTGGAGAGTGAGATGCAGAAGGATTAAGAGACTGGACTGTATATCATCAATGGACATGTACACATCAATATTTTTTTTTTCCTCCAGAAGTTACTGGGGAAACAGTTGGGACAAGAGATTGAAAAGGATGACTGTACTCAGCAGTCCCTTTCCCTGTGATCTTCTGCCGGGTTGCAAATTAGTGCCTACCCACGTGCCCAATCTTTGTGCTTTTTTTTCTTGATTGTGTCTAGACTGCTTACTTACTCTAACACCCCTCCCCTTCCCCTCTCCCCCCAGCTTCCAGGGGTGTGAGGGAGCCAGCTAAAAACAGGATTTTCAGGGTGAGTATGCTTTGGAAACTGGCAAAGACCACAGATCAGGGCTTGATTTACCGTTTTGTTGATTGTCTAGACTTAAGAAAGCAGCAGAGAAAATATTAATAAGGCAAATTAAATTTAAAAGTGTCATGTGTTTCAGAAAGGCACTCGATAAACATTTACCAGCACATCTACCTTCCCCCCACCCCACCTTCCATTCTTTTCTGTTCCATTTATAGTTATCTCTTCCACATCGTGACTTTCTCCATCCTGGTTTCCATATATCTCGGATTGGTAAAAGAAATTAAATGGGAATTTGGGGGGAGTTTTCGACACATAAAGGCCAGCAGACAACACAGAAAAAAATTAGAAACTCAGAAATGCATAAAATATATGTAAAGTATTCTATGATATCAACATATCTTATCTTTTAATACCATAATAATTCAGATTTCTTCTCTGGTACGAAGGGAGGGGCCAAAAAATTTTATGCGGATTTTCCAGATTGTGAGGGCACCTGTCCCTAATCTTCATGCTGTGCAAAGGATAACTGTACCTCCCCTGGTTCACCTTAGGACTCCAGCACAGGTTTGTAAATGAAGCCTTCGGATTGCTATCCCATCTGATTAACATTTTACCATTTGAGGCATCCTTCTGATTATTTAATGAGTGACTCATAAAGAAAGAGACAGGAAAAGTTATGTTTTTTCAGTTATAAGCTTTTTTCTTTCTTTCTTTTCTTTTCTTTTTTTTTTGAATTTAAGCTTACAAGTTTATCTATGCCCACTATATTCATAATTACATTTTAATATCTGCATACAAAAGCTATGTAAAAATTCATTTTTTCCCCCAAATATACAAATTTTTTCTTTTGGATAGTTTAAAACATTTCAATCACAGATTTTTTTCTTTAATATACTTTTAGGCTGAAAAAATATTACCAATCTAGCAATATCACTTAACACTGTTTGCAAAAAAAAAATACATCGTCCAAAGACTGAAAAGCTTACACTCGATTATGGTGATTTCTCTTGCTTTCAGGGCATGAAAAGGAAACCAAGGAGGGTAGTTTTCTTTCAGGAAAGCGCTAATTTGGTTATCAAAAAATGCCGAGTTCAGAAGGAGGAATCCAAAGAGGAAGAAGGTAGCAGGAGGTTAGCTTATTCATGCCCTGATGTTTTCTAGACCAACATTACCTGTATAATTCGAGTGTCTTTTTTTCTTTCTTTCTGTCTTACATTGTGCTCAGTAATTACAAGAGTTCTATCCGTGTCCTGGAAGGATACAGACATATCTTTGATTGTCTTGTGCATAAGAAGGGTTCCTTTTTTTTTTTTTTAAAGTAGGTAAACTGTGTGATGGAAAGACACAAACAGCGTATTTTTACCTGCACAATAATGCTTCTGAAGGCGACATACAATGTCAATGTGGAGACACAAGAGAAATTCATACTTTTTGCATCTGCAAACATTGGTATAGCACAGGAAAAATTCTGTGATAAGGCCAAACCTTTTTTTAAAGTTTGTTTTGTGTATATTTGTACTTTTTATGTTTTAATTTTTTAATTTTTTTAAGATTAAAAGCAAAATTTTCCATTGTAAAAAATACATACTGGGTGGCTTCTTACCTGGAAAATAAATATCTACATCACAGTATGATAAAATTCATTTCTATAAAATTTAAATACCGATCATATTATCTTGCTATCAAAAGAAACACTACATTTCCATATTATTCAAATAACAGGAAAAATTAAGAGCTTATTTGAGGACCCGATGGACTTAGTCTTTGAAAAGGGTGACACAATTTCAAATGTTTGCCTTTGCTCTCCTTTTGAAGGGTAAATAATCCTTGGTTGCTCATTGAAGTTCAGTTAATGAAAAAGGTTTAGCCTTACAAATGCTGGCTACATTTCAAAACCATAAGATTGATTTTCAAATTTATGATTCATGCAACTTAAGGTCAGTATGACATAAACAGATTAGCGTTCCATAGAATAAAAATACATCACTAACAATGACACATTTTGAGAGTGACCAGTAGCTCCAAAAAGGCAGGATCTGGGGATGGGGTAGAGAGGAGGGGACCGGGAGATTGTTGATGCTTATACACCCAAGTCACAAGAAAAGCTCACGGTTAGCATGGTTGGAGTAGAGTTGGGTTTCTAAAAATCCTAGAGCTTGGCAGAGTGTTACCTACAATATAATTAGCACATGGAAAACTGCATAGGCATTGCTCCAGACCCAGATGTCTGCACATCGCAGGACTGGGGAGTTAAAATTTGAAGCGTGTTGCTAAGGAGCAAAGCTCACTTGACCACAAAAAGCTCGGCTGCGGCACACGGTGTTTTTGGTAGAACCATAAAGGAAATGAAGAGATCGCCATTTGCAGTGGGCTTGGAAATACTGCTAAGCTGATGAGCAGAAATAGAGATCACACACACCAAACATTCCCCATAGTTAAGGGGTTTATAAGTGAGAAATCTGGTCCCACAGAAATCTTCAGATTCATTAGAATGTCATCCTCAAAGGCAAGAGGAAAATTCTGTTCATCCAGAGATATACTTGAATCTAAAGTCCTGGCATAAGGGAAAAAAAAAATCCAAGGCATCCCCTCACAATTGGCTTTCATGGGATGGAGTTCTGAGATGACTTGCGTAGTTGAGTGCGATACACAAAGACTGAGGTTGATACATTGTGAACAGGACTTCCAAAGCTCACCCCTTTCCAAATGATTTAATCCCTGTAGATAGCCAGCCAGACTAATTTAGATTTAAGGTTTCAGGCCTAAGTCAATCTGGCTGTTTACATCAATTGGAATATCAGGATAACTATCGAATAATCTCTTCCTTTGTGCTGTGTTGATGCAGCCTAAGCACACTTTGCATGGGACCAGCTGTGGGAGTTCACATCAAGGGAGGCATGGGTAATCCCACAGGGACTTTTCATTAAGCTTTAGACACAACTTTTGCATTACGCAAAGGATCAAGGCATAGCATTAGCCCTAGAAGTGACTTTAGAGGTTACTGAGTCCAGCCCCCTCACTTTACAGACAAAGAAACTGAGGCCTAGAGAGGTTAAGTGACGTATCTGGTGTCACACAGCAAATAGAGGTGTGCTTGATTTTTCACTTAGAATTCATTTGGAAAATAACAATGCTATATTGGGAGTAACTGATTCAAGAAGAGCTGGGAACCCATCCAATTTCCCCATCCTGCCCTTCCCTCCCAATTCACTCCATGCCTTGAATAGCCTGCTCTTTCTTGGATTGGTGCAAGTTCTGTCTTCTTTCAATTCTTTCCAGAAGCAGAGCAGATGGCCATATGTTTCTGTTGCAAAGAGGGACTTGAGACCTCGACTGAGCAAATACTCAAGGATGCTGACTCGGTGAAATTTGTATGGAGAAGATAAATTCCAACAATCTAGGAGTAGATAACAGAGCAGGGACTGTATAGCTTGTCCCAAATGTCTCGGGGCAGCTATAATAGCTTAAAACAATTCAGTACCTGATTAAGCTTTAATAGCTTAAAAATACATGAAGGCTTTTGTTAGAGTTGTGATTCCTCTGTGTAGTTAGTGAATTTCCACCCGGCACCACTCCTAAAGGAACCATGCATGCCCTTGAAACTCATTGCTTGGTTGGCATATTCTGAATTATTTTCCCTTTCCAAACTTTCTGTTACTTATCTCTCTCTGGCTATTTGGTGCCTTTCATCTCCCACTCTCAGGATGGATATCTTGCCTCTTTCTCCCTATTGTACTTGTAATTAGTTCACATATTCTTTGTTAAGAGGAATGTGAATCAATTCTCTGCTTCTAAACTTAGTGCTAGTCTAATGGAAGATGTTTGTAAGAAGAAAATATTTTCTGAATTTTTGAATTTTTCTGAATTTTCTGAAAATTTTCTGAGGTTTCTGAATTTTCATAGAATCTGAGAGCTAGAAGGGACTGTCAGAGACCATCTAGTACGACCATGTCATTTTATAGGTGAGGAAACAGGCTCCGAGAGGTGGAGACGATGCCCAGGTTCCTAATGTCCAATCTGGAACACCTTCTACTACCCCATGCTGCTCTTTAAATGTGACTAATCAATGGGGTTTGGGGAGTCTCTTACTGTTTGATTTAAAACTGCCTTGCAGCTTCCAAATTTTGCTGGATGATTTAATAAGATTAGAATATCAGTTCCTTGAGGGAAGGAGTATTTTTTTTTTGTCTTGGTATTCCTAATACCTGACACATGGTAGACATTTAATAAAAGCTTGCTGATGGTTGAATAGGATCATAAAATCATGGCATCAGAGGATTTAGAGCTGGAAGGAAAACCATCTAGTAAAACTCTGCCATATGACAGAAAATGGGAAGTCAACATGGCAATTCACTATCTGATTTTCCACATGTAACATTTTCTGATATTTACCATTTCTCCTAATGATTTTGGGGCAAAGTTGTATCAACTCTTCATGACCTCATTTGGGGTTTTCTTGGCAAAGCTACTGGAGTGGTTTGCCATTTCCTACTCCAGATGAGGAAACTGAGGCAAACAGGGTTAAAGGACTTGCGCAGGGTCACATAGATAGTAAGTGTCTAAGGCCAAATTTGAACTCAGATCTTCCTGACTCCTGGTCCAGTGCTCTATCCACTCCCACCTAGCTTCCAGCCTGCAGGAACCTCCATTCTGAATACTCTTCTGGAACAATAGTACAAGAAAATAAGATGGAAAGAGGTGAAAATTTATCTTTGTCTAGTAAATAACGATGAAGCTCTATACAGGGATTCAGGGGAAATTTATTAGTGTTGGTGAGAGGGGCAGTGTGCTGTAGTGGAAATGACATGGATCTGGAGCGAGGTTCAAATCCTGCTTACTTGCTATATGGTATAGTGAAAATTCAACGTTCTAAGTCTGATTTCAAAACAAAAACAAAACAAAAACCAAGCAACTTCATGTTAATGTTCTTGCAATAGATTTTAAGTCTGGAAAAAGAAGGGCTAGGAATGGGGAATGACAGTAGGATGTACTTACGGGCTGCAAAGACAGAGGACAGAGAGTTCAAATCCTCACTCAGACATGGCTTAGTGCTGTGAATTTAGCTAAGTCAATCAATTTCTCTGGGCCTTAATTTCTTCATCTGTAAAACGAAAGGTAACCTCTGAGCTTTCTTCTAGCTCCACATCTATGATCTTTTGATTTTATGCGTGTCTTTTTTTTTTAATGTATGTGATTTTTTAAAAATGCATATCTCAGAGTAATGGGAGGATTTCTATAAAGTACCGGTTTACAATGGGACCATTGGATATCTCATTTTTCTTCTGCTTTGAACCTAACTCTAGCTCATCTCTTTCCTTGGAACACTTCCTCAACCAGACTCAGATTGATACTTTACTGCTGCCTTTGATTAGAAGATTTAATCTGCAGGAAAAGCAGTCGTCAGCTCAATAAGGATCACCTCTCACTTGGGCAATTAGGGCACATAACTTCAGTGACAACGTGGAAGAACCACCGCCATTAAAAAGTGACCCCATTCGGTAAATCTGTTGGGTTCATGTTCAAGTTTCCTTCATCTCTAAACACACCCAGTGGTTGCCTCTTGTAACCAGTACTCTCCTGTGCATTGTAGAGTCCTTGGCCTTCGCATAGATTTCCAATTTCCTTGTGATCACCCAACCCCTTCCTCCCCCCATGCTGTATGTACTCCATTAGTTCAACAAACCCATCTACATCTTTGATTTACTCCCTGCATTGAGTGTGAACTCAACTGCAAGGATCACAGAAATATTCCATTGAAAGATAGATCTGACTTGATAGAGAACAGATATCCTTACGGTCATATATCTAAGATATAATTCATAGTACAGTGGAAAAAAAATGCTGGGTTTTGAGTTAGAGGTTCTTGGGCTTTAAATCCCAGCTCTTTCACTTAATGGGCATGTATCTCTGGACAAATCACTTAACCCCCTCTGGAACTCAGTTTCCCTATCTTTAAAGTGGAAGGTTTTGGACTAAATGCCTCCTAAAGCCCCACTCCAAGTCCTAGGTCTATGTTCCTATTTGGGCAGGAAAAGGATGGATGTCTTAAGAAAATGAGCAAGAGTAAGGATCTGAGATACTACAGATCAGCTTGGGGGGAGGGGACACATACATGGAAGCTACATTCATTGCAAGATTTCTTTGTGCCCTACAAAATGGAACCTAATCGATAAAGTCCTTCACTAAGTCAAGACAACAGAATGTGTCACTCATTGTTTTGCAGCTTTACTTTGTATCACCATCGACTGGGGAAAGATGGACGCTGGTGATCACTTCGTGCTGGTGAACTCCTGAGCTTTCTCCCCACCTTGCTACTGCGCCATTTTCAAAGCATTCACACCTACGGACTGGAGGACGGACTGTGATAGTCACATGTACCCACATTCAGGGGACATTTTCACCTGTGTATATCAATGCAAAAAAAGAAAAAGCCAACAACAGCCTTCCCCTCCCAACAACGACAACAAAAATCCCCCCCCCCAAGATACAGAGAAACACAAAAGAGCTAGGCAATGGAATGGAATGACACCCCATAAGTAGCATTGTCAGAATTGTGAGAATCCAACCAGTCCTTCTTAATCCTCGAACACTTCCAAGAACAGAGGGGGAAAGAGTTCTGTGGGGCACTCCACCTTCATGTGTAGGAAGCGGCTGGCATGGCAGGCGCCAATCATCCGTAGGTCCGTCACCTTCATCAGCAGCTTTGGCCAAAAGTGTGCAACGTGATGTTTGCGGTAATTGATATAATGTTCAAAGGCCAGTAGGAAACCCTCCTGACATTTCTCTATCCTCTCAACGCTGGCAAGCCCTGGGCGATCTGAGGAGAGGAGGCACAAAATCTAAATGTTATTTAGCAATAAGAGCCAGCCTGGCAGAGGGGATCAAGTGCTGGACCTAGAGTTGGGAAGGCTGGGGTTCTAAATCTGCTTCTCAGCCTAGTAGTTGGGTGACTGTGGACAAGTCACCTAACTCTGAGTCTCAGTTTCTTCATTTGTAAAATGGGGATAATATCCATTATACCTATTGCACAAGATTGTTGTAAGACTCAAATACTCAAACAAGACAGTCTACTAAAGGTTCTCTGCAAATAGAAAACACTAAAATACAGCTGTCATTTATCTTGGAAGTGAGAACTCTGAATGTAGGGACTGGTGGTCGTTAAGAGTAGGTGATGGGAATTCAGCCAATACTAGTAAGTTAGTAAATACTAGGAAAATGTTTTTTAAAAGGTGAACAGAGTGTAATAGCAATTTATTACATTCAATATACTTCAAGTATGGCTCTCTGAGTCCAGATCTTTCCCTTTTATCAGAGAGAATGGATAGGATGGTGACTAGAATCTGACCTCAGACATTTACTTTATTATTTGGTTGTTTCAGTCATGTCTGACTTTTTGTGACCCCATTTGGGATTTTCTTGGCAAAGAGACTGGAGCAGTTTGCCAATTTTCTTCTCCAGCTCATTTTACAGATGAGGAAACTGAGGCAAACAAGGTTAAGTGACTTGTCCAGGGTCACACAGCTAGCTACTGAGTTTCTGAGGCCACATTTGAACTCAGGAAGTTGAGTCTTCTTGACTTCAGGCCCAGTGCTTTGTGCACCATGGTGCTACCTAGCTGCCTACAGAATTTACTAGCTGTATGATTTGGGGCAAGTTACTTAAGTACTCTGAACCTCAGTTTCCTCATCTGTAAAATGGGGATAGGAATATCTATAACCCTAACCTCACAAGGCCGTTGTGAGGGTCAAGTTTCATAAGATATATAAAACACTGTATAAATGTTGGTTATTATTGTTACTATTTGTCTCGTCGTTGGCAATATCATGTACTGTAGAAGGAGCTGGCCTTAGAGTCGGGAAGCCCTGGGTTTAAGTCCCGCCTCTGACACAGCATTGTCGTGTGACCCTGAGCAAGTCACTTGGCCACTCTGCCAAACTGTAAGTGGTAGCATCTGTATGGACAGCAAGGCGGCACCATAGTGCAGAGAGCACTGGGCTTAGAATCAGGAAGACTCACCTTCCTGAGTTCAGATCTGGCCGCAGACACTGTATGATCCTGGGCAAGTCATTTAACCCTGACTGCCTCATTTTCCTCATCTGTAAAATGAGCTGAAGAGGGAAATGGTGAACCACTCCAGTATCTTTGCCAAGAAAACCCCAAATGGGGTCATGAAGCATTGGACATAACTGAACAAAAGAAACTGCATTGGTTGCATCCTGGCCCCTGGCATTGCTTATACCCATAAAAGCAAAGCTCTAGTCTTTATATCTCAGTGGGTGACTTCTTCAGCTCCTGTGGATTGAATGATCACTCCTATGCAGATAATTCCCAACTCTACGCATCTGGCTTGACTTAAGCCTCCTGAGTCCCAGTTGCTCATATCTAGCTACCCATTGGACATTTCCAACTGGATCTTCCATGGTCAGCTCAAAGACCACACGTCCAAAGTAGAACTCGTTATTTTTACTGCCAAAGTTACCTTCTTCCAAATTTCCCTATTTTTGCCAAAGGTGGCATCATCTTTGCAGACGCCCAGGTTCACGTCTTTGGTGTAGCCCTTGACTCCTCACCCTCTCACTCCACAACTTCAATCAGTTGCCAAATATTGTCATTTCTAATTCCCCAATACTGCTCTCATCCATCCCCTACCTGCTATCCTCGTAGCCACTGCCCTAATTCAGGTCCTTACCATCTCTTGCCTGGACTATTACCATAGCCTCTAAACTGTTCTCTAGTCTTTTTCTACATTAACCCATCTTCCTCATAGCTGCCAAAGTGATTTTACTAAAGCATAGATAGGTCTGAGTATGTTACTTCTCTCCTCAGTAGACTCAAATGGCTCCCTATTGTCTCTAGGAAGGGAAACAAACACTTGTTAAGTACTCATTCTGTGCCTGGCACTGGCTTGGTGTTTTACAAATATTATCTCATTTGATCTTCACAAAAACCTTGGGAGGCGGCTGCTATTATTATGCCCATTTCACAGGGAGACTAGCCCAGAACTGTGCCACTACTAAAGGTCTGAGGCCAGTGATCTTCCTGACTCCAGGCTCAACTCTTTGTTTGCTGAGTCATTTAGCTGCCTAGGAGCAAATACAAACTCACTTTGGCTTTCAAAGTCCCTCTTAATAGTGCCTTTGCTCTGGCTTTCCTCTGCACCTAGAATCTGCTCCCTTCTCACGGCTCCATTTCGGATAACTCACTGTGTCCTTCAAAACTCACTGTTACATTCCATCTTCTCCAAGAAGCCTTTTTCTGATCGACTCAGTTATTAGCACCCTCCTCCCAATTTACCTGGTATTTATTTTGCATGTGCTCATAATTAATCAATTAACAAGCCTTTATTAAGCACTTACTATGTGCCTCACACTGTCTAGATGCTCAGAATACAAAGACAAAAGTGAAACAGTCCTCTCTCAATGAGGTTACATCTTAAAGGGAAAGGCACGGTGTGTACACATACAAGGTTACACCAAATACATACAAAATGAATAAAAGTTACTTTTGGGAGAGAGCACACCTCTAGAAGCTAAGGGGGGCAGGGAAGGCTCCAGGTAGTAGTGCTTCAGTTGAATCCTGAAGGAAATGAGGAGTTGCTATCTGTTCATAAATGTCCTATGATAGAATGGAAGCTCTCTGAGGGAAGGGATTGTTTCATTTTTGCCTTGGGATTTCTTTTTGGTTTTCATTTTGGTATTCATTTTGTCTTGCTCTTTCTAGTTCCAGTCTTCTCCCTGGCACCTAGCGGATGCTTAGTTTCTTATTATTAATGTTTCTCTTTCCTCAAAGGAGCTCAGATAGAGTGATTCTGAGACACATTGCTATCCTGCTCTATTCTTTTAGATGTCGTGTTCACAGACTATTGTGGAAATGAATACAATGACTGTTTCTTAAAGATAGATGGAATAAAAGTTGATGATAATAGATAGGCCTGCTGCCTGCTAGGAACAGTTCTCTCTTGCCCCAGATTTTCCCTCTCTGGTCTTTGTCACACAATAACAGTCTAGATATTACAATATTTGGACCCCAAAGCAGCATCTGACTCAATCAATAGAAACCCTAAATAATCCAAGCTAACATCTGTAAAATGCTTTATTAGCTCATTTGATCCTTATAACAGCCCTATAAGGTCAGTGCTATTATTATCCCTATTTTATGAATGAGGAAAATGAGGCAGAGAGTGATACTGTCTAGCCATTGATGGTCACACAACCATCAATGAGCCAGGATTTGAACTCATGTCCTCCTAACCCCAAGTCATTACTCTGTCCACTCAGCCACCTCCTTGCCTTACTAAAGATGTCACAAGGCAGCCCCTTCTATGGGATGCAGAACCAGAACCAGACGGTCCACATCCTTCTCTGATTCAAAACAAAGCCCAAACCTCCATGGGGTTTGAACAGGGAATATTTGCTCTGGGAAACTTTTATGGTTTTTTTTTTTTTAATTTTTGGCTGGGTGACTAAGGTCTCATTTTTCATGCCTATAATGCTTCCCTTCCTCATCTCTGCCTCTCAGAATCATCGGCCTCCTTCAAAATTTGGTTCAAGCATTACCTTCTAGGGGCAACTAGGTGGTGCAGTGGATAGAGTACCAGCCCTAGAGTAAGGAAGACCTGAGTTCAAATCTGGCCTCAGACACATAACACTTAGCAGCTGTGTGACTCTGGGCAAGTCGCTTAACCCCAACTGTCTCGCTCTCCCCCCAAAAAAATTCTGAAAAAAACCCCATTACGTTCTTCAGGATGCTTTCCCGGACCCCCTTAGCTTCTAGAACCTTCTCCTCCTAAGATTACTTTTTATTTACTCTAAGATGAGCAGAACCCAGGTCACCGGGCTCCCAGTGTCACTAATGAGCATGCCAATGGTAACTCCTTTAGTATTTCCATGAAGAATTCTAATAGAGTGTTAACTAAGGAGGATCAGCTCAGCTGATTTCATTCTGTACAATCCCAAGATGTTAGAGCTAGAAGAGAATTTGGAAACCACTACATCAAATTCATTAAGGAAAGGACTTGTCCCAGTCACATACTTTGTCATACTTGATATTATTACTGGATTGCAGTCCTAAGTGGAAGGATAGATTTGCAGTGGATAAGGCCTTTAAAAGGCTCATCGAGACCATCAGACTCAAACAGAAATGGATCCCCGGCAGCTCTATAGTGACTTAGAAAACCACAAATGAATATTATCTGTGTTGCATTATATTTTTATTTCTTTTGTTAAACATTTCTCCAATTACATTTTAATCTGATCTGGGCTGCACTTGGGAAGCCTCACATTTGGCACTCCCAATCTAGACTAATCCTCTCATCTGTAAAATGGGGAAACAGTGGCCTGGGAAGGTGAAAGGCCTCGTCCAAGGTTACATAAAGAGTGAGGGGGAGAGCCAGAACTGAATCTAGGTTCTCTGCTCCAAAGTCCAGCACTTTTCCCACTGCACCACGCGACTTTAGACTAAGCATTTCGAATTAAGTGTCACAGCAAGGGCTAGGACAGGAATACAATCTGGGGTGCCTGACTCCTTGACCACTGCTTTCTTTTAAGACCTCGAATCCAAAACAGAGAATGGAATGGAATGTCCAAGTCAGTCTTGCACATGTCCTATATATTAGCAAAACAGAAAGAAGCAGGTTTGGACAATCTCAGTGAAACGTGCACTCCAGGATGCCATGGCATTACCTCTTTATGGGTGACAGAGGACTGTTGCACAAATATGGCCAAAGGTAGCTTGGTTCTTGAGGCCACTTGGCTAGTATCTATTGAACAATCCTACCCAGAGGAGAGGGAATAAGCTATGAAACCATAGCGCAAGAGAACATGAAAATTCAAGAGCAGTATCTCTATTTCTGGTTGGAGATGGGGAACCTGGCTCAATATCCTCACCTGAAGACATGAGCAGGACTGCTTGAAGGAGGGCTACTTCAGTGTCATCCAGGTTGAAAGAAGACAGTGACATGCCCAGGTCAAAGATGGCGTCAGACACCACCCCCAGGCCTCCGTTTTTCAGCTGGCCCCTCGTCACGGCCATCTCCCCATTTAAGGTTAAAGTCTCACTCTCGGGGTCATAGCGCACAGCCGCTCGGAGGGACATGATCTCCATACAGCAGCCTTTCAGCAGGATTATCTGATCTTCGCATGGCAGCTGGGAAGAATCAGCCAGTATCAGTAGAGGAGACGTCAACAAACCAAACAGAAGCTCAACGATGTCAGCGGAGTCATGCAGTCCAGCCCCCCATTTTACAGATTAGGAACTGAAGCCCAGAGAGAGTCAATGATTGCCCAAGGTCATAAGGTAGGAAGTAGCAAAGATGGGAACCCAGAGCCTGGGACCATAAGTCTAGGGCTCATTGTGCAGAATGATGCCTCCCAGCCACAGGGTGCACAGACTAGAGTAGGGACTATCTTGGCAAGGGAAGCCTCTGGGGTGGCTAAAATAGAAACCATCATTTTAGTGAAGTTTAGAAAATGATGCTAATGGAATGCTTATTTATAATCAGAAGCTGCATGCCAAATGAACACTTCTGAAGCCCCATGCTTTAGGAGGTATGAAAAATATCTTGCCAGATACCTTTTCCTTTAAAAGTGGGTTTTAAGCCCCTCGTGGGGGTGTCTCCTAGTGCTTGGGCAAGTAATTACTATCAATCATTTGACAAAAATGTTTTCTTCCTCAGGAAGGCTCCAAGAAAGGTACAGGAGGGGTGGACTCAGGGCTGCTCTCCCAGAATCCTCCTGCCTCCTCAAGAACACATTAGTCATGTTTATTGGCAAAGATTATGTGTGGGAAACCAGGAGACACCTCTCAGAGGGACCTCTCAAAGCTGCTTCAGAAAGGATATATACCTGGCCGAGTTTCTGTGGGTGATTTTTGGTGGCCCAGTCGGTAATGCATTGAGCACCCCATCGGACAAAGGGCGAGCTGGTCTTTTCCCAGTGGGGCATTGCTTGTCTGCATCAGTAAAGGAAGGAAGTTGGCAATGGTCCACTCCAGCCTCTGGAGTCATACTTCCGGAGGCCAAGGTCAACTGAACCCACTTTGCCGCTCAATCTTTTCAGTCATGTCTGACTCTCGGTGACCCCATTTGGGGTTTTCTTGGCAAAGATGCTGGAGTGGTTTGCCATTTCCTTCTTCGGCTCATTTTACAGATGAGGAAACTGAGGCCAACAGGGTGAAATGACTTGCCCAGAGTCACACTGCTAGTAAATATCTGAGGCCAGATTTAAATTCAGGAGGATAAGCCTTCCTGACTCCAGGCTCGAGGCACTCTCTCCGCTGAGCTGCCTTCTTGGGTCATGTCAGAGGCCCGTTCTTGGCCTCTTTCCTTTGCTGACTTCTGAAGAGAGGAAGCAAAAGGCTAAAACTGGGGAGTCCAGTAAAACGTAGGGGGCTCCCATCTGAAAGGCCTATGTCTCTGTCCCGCTCTGTGATTCATACCTTTCTTTAAAATGAAAGTGAAGAAATTGAAAGTTTTTTTCTTTGACCAATGTTGTTGTTATGGTATCAAATTGCTTCTGGTTCTTTACTCGGTTAGTTCATACACATCTTCTCAGATATCTATGGAAGGGTCCTTTTTGTCACTTTCTCCCAGTATGGTAGTGTTCTATTGCATGCAACACATTTGTTCAGCCATTCCTTAACTGATAGGTGCCCCCTTTGCTGCTGGCTCTTTGCTGCAGAAGTGACGGACTCAATATGCAAAATGAGACATACATTTTTGGATATGGCCAATGTGGGAATTGAGCCAATAGCTGAGAACCAAGTGGATTTCCTCTCTGCGGGCTAGGGCCTGGGTACAATGGGGAATTGCTTTGATAATAAAAGCAAAGAGAATACCAGGGGAGCTCAAAATGACACCATAATCGAGAGTGTCTTCTGCACCCGGAAAAAACAGCCGCATTTAGAGGCAATCCAGAAGAGTGGGGTCATGAGGTAGCTAGGTGGTAAAATGGGTGCAACCCTGGACACACAATGAGGAAGACTTGAGTTCTAATCCTACCTCAGATACTTATTGGCTGTGTGACCCTGGGCAAGTCATTTCATCTGCCTCAGCCTCAGAATCCTCATCTGTAAAATGTAAAATGGCATATCTCTCTCTCTCTCTCTCTCTCTCTCTCTCTCATAGGGGTTTCATGAGGATCAAATATGATTATATGTATGTTATAAAGTGCTTTGCAAATCTGAAAGTGTGATATAAACATTAGTTATTATTGTGAGGCAGGTGTAAGCTACACTTGAGTTTGGCCCTAAGGCTGCATACTCATTGCCAGGACCTTGGTATAGTGGAAAGAGCACTGAATTTAGCATCATTGGACCTTAGTTTGAATCCCCATTCAGCCAGTTTTCAGTTGTGGTTGACCTTGAACAAGTCATATTATCTCCTGGTGCCCAGTTTTCTTATCTTTAAAAAGAAGAGGTTGACTATTCGGGTTTCTTCCGCTCTGAGTGCTGTAGGGGACCCTACAGGTGGCCTGGGAGTGGGTCACCTAGGGGGTGGAAAGTGATCCCAAGAAGTCTCTGAGCTCAGGCCTTCTTTGGCTCTGGTTCCAAAACATAAATGACTGGATGAAGGAGGGTTATTCCATGGGAGGAAACTGAGCTTCATTCTATGGACTCCCTTCCCTCCCCTCTCCCCTTTAGAGGCAAACTTACCCCAGGGCTCCTCTCCATTTAATTTACTTCCAGAAGTGAAGGACTAACTAACTGGCACCTGCCAGGAATCACTCACCCAAGAGGAAAACAAACAAACAGACACAACCAAAAGCAGAAAACCCAGTCTCACACAAGACTTAAAAGCCAGTGGGAAGGATTTAGATTAGACCTTGGAAAGGATTGCTGGGATGCTGGTGAAAACTATCCAGCCCCCTTCTACACAATTATTATTATTATTATTATTATTATTCTTCATTCATTCATTCATTTATTTATTTTTAGGGTAGAAGGCTATCTTTAGAAGATGGTTTAAATCTGTCTGGGAGAAAGGGATGGACTAGATTATGCCTCTGGCACCATTTTAATTTTGATTTTAGAGGAATCTGGGCTGTTCCATTTCTCCTAGGATGTACAAATGGAGGGTAATTACATATATCTGTACCAAGGGGGGGAATGACAAATTTTAATGAGTCTCTACCGGTGCTTTCAAATGATTAAATTGTTCCTAAGTAATATGAGATTTTAAACAACAGCTGTTAGTGTGGAAGTCTATAGATCTGTTCTGTAGAATAGGAACACAGGAAAATAGAAACCCAGTCAAAACAAACTCCAAACACATTTATTTCCTTACCTCACAAAACATAGGCAACTTTTTGGCAAAATCCACCACTCTCGTAATTGCTGGTGTGATGATTTTTGTAAACTGGCTGAAGGCTTCCAAGTCTACTTTTCCACCTTCTGGGGCATTGACTATCGGAGCTTGTCCAATATCTTCAGGCTGAGGATATTAAATCAGAGAGATTTAAGTAGAGAAGGGGCAGTGCCCTACCATTAAGATAGTTCTCACTGGGAAGGAGGAAATCTGGATTTTTTTCACCTGGTGTAAAATACATATCTTTCATGAAAAAAAATGACATGACCTCTTTACTCTGTCTTGGTCAAAGATACAAATCAAAGTCATTGTGGAAACAGGACCTTAAGAGTTCAGATAGAAAAACATGGAGGCTCAGGGCAGATTTGTGTGTGTTTTTAATTTCTGTGATGAGGGAACAGTGAAAGAAAGAAAGTGGAAAGAAAACATATGCAAAAGTCTCTGAATGTAGGAAGATTGGATTTTCCCTAAACCCAATATAACTCAATTCAATTTTTAACAAATATTTCTTAAGCTCTTATAGTGTGTAAGGCACTATGTCAGGATACTCTCTTGGCTGGGAGGAAAGAGAAAGGATGTTATTAGGATGGAACATTCTGCTTATTATGGCTAGGGATAAAGGGTACCCCAATTAATTGCTCTCAAAAAGTAACATGGTAACATAGGTGCAAAGAAAGGGGTCAACAATGATATGGATTTTGTATTGGAACACTTGAAAAGGTGCATATTTATCTACGTGACTCAGGTGTTTTCCAGGTGTTTTGAGATGGGATGGCTCTTCAAGAACATTGAACTATGGCCTGAAGCAAGGAGTATGATAAATGATGTTCTGCCCCACCAGCTGTAGAAACAGATGTGCTTCTGCCCTAGCTCTTGGGGCTGTAAGTTTAGACCTAGCAGCTGGCTAGCCCTGCCACTTTGGGGAACTGCAAATTCTACCCCACACCTGGGCCTCAGAGCTCTACTCTGGTTGTCCTAAGAAGCTTGGACTGAGGGGAAAAATCTCTGGGTCCACTACGTAGATAATTAATTTTTTTGTTCTTGAGTTATTTTTCAGTTGCACCCGACTCTGTTTTGACTCTAATTGGGGTTTTCTTGGCAGAGATACTGGAGTGGTTTGCCATTTCCTTCTCCAGCTCATTTCACAGATGAGGAAACTGAGGCAGAGTTAAATGACTTGTCCAGGGTCATACAGCTAGTAAATATCTAAGGACAGATTTGAATTAAGGCAGATGAATCTTCCTGACTCCAGGCCTGGTGCTCTATCCACTGAGCCATCTAGCCACCCTAGATAATTGAATACTGAGGGCTAATCTATAACAGTCCTGTTTTCAGGAGGCAGTTTACTAAAACATTTAATTTTGCCATGTTTTCTTTTTTCCTTCTGAATGAACAATGGCCCCCTATTGTTGATAGATATATAGTTGATACTGGGTTCAGTGTGGCATTCGAGGCCTGCTGTCAGGTGGTCCCATCTTACTTATCCAATCTTCTTTCTTACTCTTCCCCTGCACAAATTCTGGCCTCCATTCAGATTAATCACCTTACCCTCCTTCCACATACGCCATGGCCAGGCTGTCCTCTGTGTACTATTCCTCCTTTCTAGAATGCCCTTCCTACCTTTCCATCAGTCTAAATCTCATGCTTTCTTCTGGGTTTTGCTCAAAACTAAACTTTTCCATGAAACTTTCCTTTTCTTCCTATTTCTGCTAAAAATGATCTAGGAGCAGAGGTCTTGGTTTCGATCGGCGAGGGAAAAACTGGGACTGACACAGGCAGGGATCAGGGCAGCCTTCAAGGAGGAAGCGGCATTGGGTTGGGCTTTAAAGAAAAGGTAGTCCTCCACCTGGAGCCGAGACCAGGTGGTCACCCTTGTCAGCCAGGCAAAAAGCTTCATGTCCTTGCAGAGAGACACTACTGCTCCCCAGTAACTGCCCCCTTCCCTGTTGCCGAGTCAAGAAAGCAAAACCAGTTTAATGAGTTATTTATGCATATGACTGTTCCTGTAGCGATTTCCCACCCCTCCCCAAGCCATATTTGAGGAAAACAAAGATGATTTTCTTTTTCTATTCCCACCCCCCCCACTGGCAAGCTGCCTCTGTCAACAGTAGCTGAACTAATCTTCAGAGGGTGTGGCAGGACTAGTGGTTAGGGCCTCAAGGGAGAATTTTTAGCATATTATATAACACATTCTGGCAATGTCTACCCATTTGTATTAGCTGGCTGTTCCTGCTGGGAAGTTTTTTTTGTGTGTTTTTTTTAAGACAAAAAAAGCAGGTTTCTGCCCCCCCAAATTTACACAAACAATGATGAGGCTTTTTTTTTTTTGGTGGGGAAGAGAGTGTAGCAATTCAAACATAAAGCCACTGATCTGCTGGCTTTCCTAATGCAGTCTGAATTGATGGAAATAGTACATTCGAAGTGGGTTTCTTGTAGCTTTCCTTCATTCCTCCAAAAGCAGCTAGGACCATAGGGCATGCTTCTGCTGTTTCTTAGAAGGAATTTCACTTTTCTGTTTTCTTTGCTAGTGATTCTTATTTCTCCAGTGCTTTTCATATTTAACAAAGTGCTTTTCCCTAGGAGGTTGATAAAGCAGGTATTATTATTCCCATTTTACAGATGGGAAAACTGAGGCACAGAGAGGTAAGGGACTTGCCCAAGGTCACACAGCTCGTAAGTGCCAATCAATCAACAAACGTTTATTCAGTGCTGACTATGTGCTAGGCACTAGTGATACAAAGAAAGGGCCAGAAGACCCCTTGCTCTTAATAACCTTATATCCTGGGGAGGGGGTGCGGGGGAGGCGTGTCAGAGCCAAAATTGGATGGGGGCTTCCAAATTTAGTGCTCTGTCCATTACAGTCCATTGGGTGTAGGAATGGGGAAAAGCATCTTAAAATCAAGTTGTTTCTGATTTGAGAACCCATAGCAGTGTGGTGGGTACAATCCCATTAGGTTCTGTTCTTTGACATTCCGAATAGTCAGGGGACTCTTGGGATTGCCAAACATGCAACCTGAGGGGAAAGTGAGTGTGTGTGTTGGGGTGGAAGGATACTTCATGACTATCAGTGGTCACACTGCTGGAGAAATAGTTCCCCACTTCTACCCTCTCCTGTCTGTTTTGGATAGAAAATACTTTTGAAAGAGGGGAAAGTTTTTACAATTTTAGGCAGAATAAAACTGTAAAAAAATCCCCATAACAACAAACCCCAGTGAGGAACAGAGGCTCATGTTTAGCCTCCTCCCAAAGCACAGAAAAAGCAAACGATGAAAACGAAGACCGTCAGGACCAGATATCACGTGTGCTGTTGACACATTTTTAAAAATTAAAAATGAAGAAAATTCAGAAAGGGAACCCTTGGGAGTTGGTGGTCTGGGTAATGGAAAATGTTAGAACTTCAACCAGCTTCTAAATATTCATGAGCTGAAATGAGGAAGGAGAGGTGCTGGACAGGGAACTCAGGAGGCTTTTCATCATCCAGAAAGTACAAGTGGGTGCTCAAGGGATTTGGAGCAAGTTCAGCACAGAAAGCTGGCTCCTGCAGTAATTAGCCTTACAAAATGCATGAGGGTATTGGATGGAGGGCCAGACTGGAGGTCAGGAAGACCCGAGTTCAAGTCCAGCCTTAGTTTCCTCATCTGTATAATGGGACAATAAGAGCACCTCCAAGGATTGTTGTCAAAGGGGGGAAAATATAAAGTGCTTTGCAAATTGTAAAAGGCTACATAGACATGCACTGTAAGATGACATCACAGAAGAGATGTTTGTCTGCACTGGGAAAAGGAGCTTCCCGGTGTGAGACAGGACCCCTGGGCATCCCTGAGACACCTGCAGGGGCCGAGTTCTGCTGCTCTGCCCCAGTGGAACCAGAGGGTCTTCCTGAGACAATGGCAAGTTGAGTGTGACCTAGGGCAAGTCACCTGGCGTCTCTCAGTACAGCCCATGAACTAGATCATCTCCAAAGAACCTGGCAGCTCTAAATCCAGGATTCTAAGAGATACACACATGTATACATATATGTACACACAGGTGGAGTATATCACCCATATATGTGTGAATGATACATGTATATAATTTACACAAATGATACATGTATACAGTGTACAAATATAGGGGTAGGGAAAGATTATGTGTGTATGATATATGTATGTGATGCATGGACACATGTACACACACCACCCCATAAATGCATGAATGATAGATGTATACATACATGTGCATAATATATATGTGCCATCTCTCTCAATGATATATGTAAATAATTTATATGAATGACATAGGCACATATTTGTGCATAATACAGGTACATGTATATAATTCACACATGTAGGAATTATATATATATGAATGATAGATATATACATACATATACCTGTCAGTATATTATCAATACTTATATGAATGATACACACATATACTTTATATGCATTACACACGTGCACACACACATGATAAGGGGTATGCATAGAAGCAATCTGTGTATAAATGACACACACGGTGTATGCACACACACGTAACACAATTCATATACGCAAGAACACCACATGCATGAGTGAATGATATATGTACACACGTGTGCATACACATGTACAGTATAGCATCCATCTAGGTACGAATATGTATACATGTATGAACGCTATGTTATGCACATATCTCTATATAGAGGCAGCATGCAAGGCTAGCCTTGGTCAGGGAGATCTGGGTTCAAATACCACCTCTGACCATGTGTCCCTTTCAGCTCACTGCCCATCTCAGAGACTCAGGCAGTCCCTCCAGACTTGTCTACGAAGCTGGGTAGCGATCTGTAGAGGCAGAGGGATTGGCCTTAGATTTGATATGAAAATACATGACCGTTTTTACACATGACCTTAATAATCAATGGATCTCCACCCCCCACCTATGAGATAGGTGCTACTACTAGCCTCCCTGATGGCAGGAAGTGTCTTTTTTTTTGGTTTGTGTTTGTATCCCCAGTGCTTAGCACACTGCCTGGTGCAGAGTAGGTGCTTCAGAAATGCTTCTTGACTATTTTAGAACTGAGGCAACTGAGGCTTTGAGAAGACAAATGAGTCACTAGGCCTCACACAGCAGCCTGTGTCTGCGGCAGGATATGAATACAGTGCTTT